CAGGAGTGGTAAGTAGCAAGTGCCTCTGTGAGAGGATATTTGCTCAATTTTATACCCGAGACAGAAGATTCATGCCGACTGGAGATGATGATGATGATGATAGCAATATGGCATATGGAGAAAGTTGGGACACAAGTGAGCAGAATTGTAACAAGGCGGAGAAGACCGCTCCTGCCTCCTCTGCCACGAACTGCGGATAAAAACCAAGTGTAAACATTGCCTTTCTCTGACTGGAACTTGATGATGATCATGCAGGAAGAAAACCAAGGAGAAAAGGGGTGTTACAAAAGGCGGAATTTGCCGGCCCCAAACTTTTTATGATTTTTTTCTTCCCGTGAAAACATAAAACGAAAGTCATATAAAAGCCATGAAGCAAACTGGAGCGAGCTAATAGAAAAATTTCCACCAAAATATATTTGTGCTGTGGACCAAGAAGATGAGAAATTTTATGTTTGTGTTTATTATTATAAATTAATTTTTCTATGTATCTCCAGAAGACATATGATACTTAGATAGTTAAGACGCTTAGGTTTTTTTATTGCTCTCTCCTCCGCCCATCTTCTCAGTTCTTACCCACAAAATTCTTCCACAGTCTCAATGGCACAGGCTTCAAGATGTACGTACACACACAGTAAGCACGTGCATGTATACGTTTGAAGTTTGAGTTGTGGTGTGCGTGTGGACAAAGTATTTGCCATGCTGTTAGCCTTCTCCAATATTGTTTCCGTTACATAAACTCGATTCCACTGATGCAAGGATGAAGTTATAGTTGCTTTTAGTACTCATACAAGTGACACTATCAACTAAAAAGGAATGAAATACTTTTGAGAACTCGGGCAGCTATATCGGAGCGGAGAGAAAGATTCTTATGCGAAGCTTCTGTCAATCCCATTAATTTCACTTTCTATTTAAGCGAAGTCTTTCAGATTTCCTGCCAAGGCCAATAGAACGTGGCGGAGTGAGTAGCATTTATTGCTCTGTCTGTCGGCAAGTTACTGCTACTTATGTACTGCACATAATATTAGTATACTTATGTGTACACAAGAATCTAGGGAGATCGAGACGATGAAGCTTCCAGGAAGACAAGTTGATGTTTAGCTTGACTCATCCCAATGTTTATTTCTTTGGAATTTTCTCCTAAGGAAATGAAGTAGTTTTGGTAATGTCCCACTATCACGATTTCACGACGGTTGTTGCCAAACCCACCGTCGTCGTCATCATCATCGTCGTCGTCGTACATAGTCGCAGCTGATGCGGGTGGCTTTCCTTTCTCAGGCCAAGTTGTTCCGTCATAATAATCATAATGAGCAAGTGCAGGCAGGCAAGAGGCAAATTTCCATGAGAAAAACTTTGTAAAGTTTGGTAGTACGGCTTTGGTGAATGAATGACTTGAGTTTGGTGTGGATTTTTACTCTCATTACAAGACTTTGCTTTTTCCGGGTTTCCTTTCGCAATTTCCACCAGTGTCGGGGTAGTAGTACTGTGTTGTGTTAATCTAAAAAGCACTGATGGTGTCTTGATGGGAACATTAAGCAGGGAAAAGATGCAATTTCTTTGTTACATTATTTGGGGAGGAAGCAGTTTGGTCGATTTGGGATTTGGTTTCCCCATTCTTCGCTGTAGAATAAGGGCCATGAGAATGTCATTTGAGTCTCAAATTTTGTTTTACGTGATTTCTCTCCATTGGACGAACACGAAATAAACTAACATCAGATGAATCGTAGCGCCTCGTTGTTGGTGAGCTACTTTGAAAACAAAATCAAGCCAATAAAACAAAATTGGGTTAGTTCAGCTTCGATGGACAGAGGCGAGGGAATTAATTCTCATATTGTTTTAAGGATGGAGCTCATTAGCAGAATGTCTAGCAATTTACACTTCACGAATGCCTACATGTATTTATTTACGTACAGGTATTATGTACCAGCAAATATTTGAGTAGGGCTGAAGGATATATTTAGCTCATAAAAGATGATCAACATGTTCTGAGCAATTTTTGACAGCCTTTGAAATTCTCAATTCTCATATTATACGCATTGCAGTCTCCACGACTTGTTATTGAAGTTTTTCAGTCCTTGAGTTTCCTTCGCTGTTTGAGGAAAGGCGTTGGAAATATGTATGTGGGTTGGGCAAACGTAACCTAATAAGCATGTGGCGATAGTAAATTTGCGAATCCTTCGCTCTGTCTGACTCACAGCGCACTGTACGTGCAATCTGTAAGGTGTAAAAAACGGGTGGCTCGCTTTCTCGGTTTGTTCGATGGAATGAGAAATTTTACACATGACTAGTTGCATTCAGTCGCTCAATGTATCATCATCAATTCCTGCTTTCTCCAATCCTACCACCACCACCGCCAACATCCATCCCACAAAACGGTCTCACACCCACCACACACACACACACACCCGAACGAAACAAGTCTTGGTAGCTTGCTAAACCACTTACTCTAATCAGTCGTGTTGTGTCTGAGAAATATAGGAAAACACGCAACGAAATCCGTGCCGTTTCCTTTAGCATTTTTCACTCGTTTCCGTTCTCTTTCACTCCAATTCCTTGACTTTCTGTCTCAGATTTTTTCCTTCTTTGTTGGCATCCCCTTATTTGATCTGGTCTTCGGAAATGGGTCGACAGCTAAGGATGTTTGTTTAGGCTGCCACCACCATTATGTCATCTTGGTCTACAATGCACCAATTAAAATACAGCTTCAAGACAGCTGTGAAGCCCTGTTACGATTACGATGGCACACAAGTTTATGTATAAGCACTAATTAAACGAAGCACAAATCAAGGCTCGAATTTTTATTTCTTAATCCTACTAAAAGTAGTTATAAATCTAGCAGTCATAAATCCTAGTTGAAATTGAACCTCATCTTGAAACTAAATATGTGTGCAGCTTCCCAAACACTATGCAAAGTATCGTGTTATCTAGCTTGATATGAATTTGTCTGTCGAATGCACATGAGCAAATCAAAGGATGCAGAAGGATATATTGCATTGACGTGGTTGGTTGGATAGTTATTTGGATAGTTTCAAAGGACACGTTTGAAACGAGAAGTCCACATGAATGAAAATCAGACAAAAATGTGCAAGTAGCAGCGAGGAACGGATGTGCTGGAGAAAGAAGGCCAAAAGAGAAATCTCCCCAACTGTCTTCCCAGCCATTGGACATGTACATAAGTAGATACGTTAGATACGTTGGAGAATTGCTTTCGTGGTGGTGTTTTATGTGTCTCATGTCCAGTCTGCTTTTCATTTTTCTCAAACAAAATTGTATTTCCTCCCCATGAAGTTCATCCTGTCAAATTGACTTTATTCCATCTGTCCACTCCACGAATGTATGTTTCGCAGAACAACGAAAATAATACAAATCCCACCACGAAAATGAAACTATTCTTCATGTATCGTGGCATCAGCAAAGATTTTCTGGTTCATAACGGCGAGACGACAGCTGTTTTCTAACCTCACCCACCTTCCATTTCTGCTAAATATCATTAACAGTGTGCCAAACAAAATCTTATCATGCCTGCAGCACTGATGGAAGGGCAAAAATTAAATCACGAAATTAATATATATGTATTTAGACAACCAGATTTGAGATTAAGTTTCGCCACTCGATTAAGGGTTTGCCATGTTGATGGAGTGGTTGGTTTGCTGGTGAGTTGAAGTACTAAAGTAAGTTTATTTGCCTTTGCCTTAGGTGCTTGGTGCTTGGTGAAGTTGGAGTTGGATAAGTAGATCGAGCAACACACTTGTGTATATCTCTCGCTCGAGGTCTTGGTGGAAGACAGTTTTAAGTCTAAAGTAATGGAGACGGTGCAAGATTCTGATTAATTGGTTTTCTCAGAATCTCAAGTCTCAGACCAGCTCTCTAATTAGTTTGTTAAAAAGTATAATGAGTAGACCTCGACTAGCATTCGACTGGTCTTCCCCTCAGCTCATCCGCATCCACATAAGCGCACAGCTCCACGGAAATACCTCCTCCTCCCACATGCATATTGTAATCCATAAGACTCTATTGTTAGCGGGGTTTACACAGAATGCATTATGTAATGCGTTTAAACAACTTGCATCCTATATTTTATGTAAAATAACAGAATGTTTTACGTAAAATTAGCCGCAAGTTATTCCGTTGCGAATATTATAGTAATTTGACAGCAAACTAGTTCAAAACTAATAGTTCTGAAAAGAAGAATTTTCATACGTACTTTTAAAAACCCTGTAAAATCTTAAAGGATCAAAATTTATGTCATCTTTCATTTCAAACTTAAAAACTTCTAGGAAATTGAAAACGTCTGGTAGAGTGGATGGATGTTGGGTTCAAAAGAATATTATGAAACTACATGCAGACTTATTTACATATATGTACGTATATATATGTACATATGTGTATGTGCATATATCTAAAATTAGCAGTTATATAAAATGGTTGGTTTTATTTTACTGATCAAACAAATAGAAAGTAATTTAGCTACTTACAAAAGCTTAAAGTTGAAGTTGAAGAAGGAAAAATTATCTGGTTGGAGTAGAAACAATACAACTTTCAATGTGGTACTGGTTTTCCAGTGCAATCCAATAAATTACGAAAGTAAAGTACATAAGTGCTAGTGGTGGTGGTGGAACTACTCTTTTAGAATTACAAGGAATTGCAAAAGTTGGATCCAACAATTCACTACAGTTTCATTTGCCAACTCCCAGTGTTGTAATTTCTTTCAGTTTTGAATTATACATAATTGATGAAAATTGAATTACAACAATTCTGGGAAAGACTTTCAGAAATTGAAATTCTAACAACTATATATATAACTATATACTTATGTATATTGCCAAAATGTAAAAGTACGAAAACTACCTACACGTGTTTACTTAAGCACTTGCTAGTTGGATTGGAGTCATTCACATTTTAGAATTTTGAAGTGCATAAATTACATAAACTGGGAAATTAAATTGCGTGTTCAATTTGAATGTATTGTTATAAATTGTTATAATGTTTAATTTTTTTGTCAGGTGTTGACCGTTCTGCAATCCCGGCTCCAGGAACCACCCACCAGCAGTCGGCAGCGTCGGTCACAAGTGCGGGACCTGTGAAAATGGCATTGAAAGCGTCCGTAACCGGGGTCGACGACGAAGACAGTTCGGATCCATCAACAATGCCATATTTTGATTATGGAGTCCCTCGAAATGTGACAACTGTGGTAGGACAGCATGCATTCATCCTCTGCCGTGTTCACAGAATGCAGGACAGATCCGTAAGTTGCTAAAAATTTGCAATTCAATATTACGCTAAAACAATAATTATCAAATATCTGTACACATACATAATAATTTACGTTTAGACTTGAAGCAGCAAAAATTTGCTGCGTAAAAATAGACGAATACGATAGATGGATGAAAAAGCACAATAATTGCATCGACTTTTATGAGCTTCATTAAGAACTGCTAAATAGTCTGTGTTGAGGTTGGAGGTAAAGTCATAAAGTTTTGAAGCAGACAGAGTGACTGAAGTGGGATGATGAGTAAGTGAGTTTCTCATCTCAAATCCACCTTTTATTAAAAACTTTGTGAGAGAAAGAGCAAGAAATTCTCTAGATTTTTTACTTGTTAATAAAGAGGCATTATCATATCTTTCTCCACCAGCCGGCCGAGTTGACTGAGGGCTAGCAAGGAGAGGTTTTCGGTTATTAAAAACGAGGAACAAGCCAGAATAATAAATTAGCTTTTGTCCGGAACTCAAAAAATGTATAACACTTGCCAAACCATTCCCTTCCCTTCTGGATTCTCATCCGTCCTCACTTCGCCCAGACTTTCTCGTCCTTCAAACTATTCATTCATTCATCCGCCTCCTCCTCCTCCACGGCTGGTGGCGTATGTTGGCTCCTCGTCATTTTTGGCCGGATTCGAGTCGTCTGGCTCTGAACTCGAACTTTGTGGTTTATGAACGTCTTAAACTTAATGTCAACTCGAACGATTTTTTATTTCGTACCCTCGTCCCTTGTGATCAGGATGATTGGCAGTCAGCCCAGTGAGACAAGGGTTGTGATATGATGGTCCTAAAAAATTGTCCCTAAATACATAATTTAAATGTAAACCAAAGAAACAGAACATGCACAATTGACTACTGCATTTAGATTTATTGAGAATTTTCAAACCAGTATATTTGAAATGATGATTTGTTATAACTGTCAGAGTAGGAAAGTTATAGCTGAGTTAAATATATGAACAAATGATTTATTCAATGATGAAAAGTAGTATGCTTTAAAATGTTTACACGTCATGAGTCTATTTTGGTTTAGTATATTTAATCTAAACTTCCGAATTTTCGTTAGAATAACGCAAACTCCATCCGGAGTACATATTTAACTTGAGAAATTCTTAGAATATTATATATTCGCGTACAATGTTGTACAAGACTGCATATGAATCAGTTAAGTGCAGGAATCATATCACACGCGAAGTGTATATAATATATAGAATAAGATAATGCCCTAAAAATATCATATTATATTCATATTCTACATCCCATTCTAATCCTAAGCGTTACATAATCACTACTTTATCTTACGAGCATATTTGAGACTTTTTAAATAACGAATCAGATTTGGAGACATTGATTGAAAGATATTACATTGCCTGGATATTCGATAACAATTCATCTCAAACAGCATGATACTGAAGTCGAACTATTGAAAACGTATTTAATATATTACGAAGGGTTTTTCAAGATGGTACACACATCATTATGAGAAAAAAGCTAACGATTAAGCGTATTTATAGTAGAGTTCACAAAGACTCTCTTGCCTAACTGACCTGCTTTCACCAACAAATATAAACTCAAGCTTAATTTCCCTTAGTTATGCAATACCAAGGATGCAGCTAAATAGCATAACTGGTATTTCATGCAATATGCATAAAACTTGTAAATGTACTTTGAACTCAATGTGGCAAAAATGTTATATGGGAACTTTGAGCAATTACCACCAGACTACATTAGTACTTTAGTTCAGATGAAATTTTAGTTCTACATAAGACCAAGCTTTTAAGTAATTAGAGGCAAAGTGAAAGAACCAAAACTAATTTTTTTATCAAGTTTACAAATTATTATAACTAACATTTTCGAACTATTAAATATTAAACTATGTGCGGAATATGTTTGCACTGCATATGACCCGTTTTATAATCATGATTGTGTTCCCATGCTCAGAGGATCGTTCTATTCCATTTAAGAGTAGTTGGCATGAAGTTAAATCATCCTTGGTAGCCCGGTCGTGGGAAAGTATTTGCAAATCTAGAAGAAGAAAGAGAGACGGAGAGAGCTAGTTATTATTCTGAGCGAACGTTACCAATAGCCGAGGGCCATACTTTCACAAGATGCAATAACTTGTCCCGGATATAAAAACTCATAATAATGGATCCACTTTTGGTCGACAGCAGAGCATTGTTCTCTCTCGGCCTTCTGCATACTTGCTACTTCTTGGAACAGTGGATTTCAGTATCTCAAATGAAGCTGAACATGTGGGGACTGACTGACTGCAACCCAGCAACTTTGTTTTCCCAGACTTTCCCTCAAAGAGAGTGCGTAGCTTTCCTTCTGCTCTATGATTATGAGGAATAATAAAATTATATAAAGTGCCTGTAAAAGGACGTTTCCCTCCATTTCCAACTGGCAGATAATGACAGGAGATGATGTTACACTGTCACGATGATGATGTAGTCCGATGTGATACTGACTGGGTACAACCGTATAAATATATATCCAGCTCCAAAAACCATCCCGTAATTTCCCTTCAATCTCCACAAACTTCTGTTATTATGATGAGGATGACCTTTCTCCTACATCGCTGTCGAGAGTGCTCACACCGCATATCGCGGCTATCGGCTCTCTGCAGAGTTCTTGGACTGCTCTCCTTCTTCCTGGAGCAGATGACGATGCGATTTCTAATAATGGTGAAAAGTGTGACATATATGAGGTACATACTCCAATGACGAAGTGTGGGTGTATTCAGTCAAAGCCATTTGGATGCCATCCAGGAAAGGTTCTAACTTGCTGGATATGTAAGTGAAAGCATGGTCAGCCTATATATTCAAGCCGATGTATACGATCGGACAACCAGAGCAGCAGCATAGATGGTGAAGAGCTCTAGAATTTGGCTTAGAAGTACGGCACATTATTATCCCAAAGTAATCACATTTAAATGAAAGTTCCCTCCTTTGTAGTCAACGCCTCATTGCTACTCACAAGAGTTGTGGTATTTTTGGTGTACAAGAATTTGGCCTCCGTGTGTGCGCAATTTTGTGATGCTGATGATAGAACCCGATATGTTTAGCACAAACGTGCACTCATGTGATATGCCTGTGAAAAGTGGAGAACATTACATGCCACGCTTGATTATTACCAAACGTGGTGAATATATAGTAGAAATTGTGGTTCAAAGAAACATCCCAGTTCCTCCTGGTCGACAGCTCTGTGAAGGTTGATGAGGTTTATTGTAGAGTGGAGGAAGGTCAGCAACTACAACTTTAGTGAATGTGAAACTCTGTTCCCATGTTCCTGGATTAGCAGTTCATGACTAGAAGAGTAAGTATGAACATGAGACGAGTAATCCAACTTCAGCCAAACACCTAGAGTCGGCCCAAGTTAGACGTACGTATAATAAGAGATCTAATAAGATATGACACGGTGTGGATAATATCTACCATTTTCAGAATTTAAGACACATGCGAACGATTATTATACCTTCTTACAACGACTTTCGATCATAAATGTCGGTCTTTTGTAACTATCGGATTTGGCCAATTTCTGTTTCCAACAATTCCTGCCAATTTTATTCTTATTTATATGGGCCACCGTTCAACAACATCAAATTACAAAAAGTCGCGTAATTAAAGTCAGCCTTATAATGTACATTTCAAGTTTACCCAAGGTTTCCCGTTCTCAAACATACACTGCGTTACACGTTACAATTCTTTATATTTCTGCTGATTTACACAAATCACAAGTCCAAAAAGTGCTGTTTTCTCTTTTTTCACGGTATAAACTTTTTGTGTTGATGCCCAATCACCTTGAAGAGAGAAACGTAATCTTGAATCTGATGCCCTAATTTCCATGTCCATCCGGCGTTGACAAAGTCGTCGGAAAAGACTTGACAGAAAGTGAAAAAGTGGAAATTCACAATGCGAACGCAAACGGACCACAAGGAAACATGTTTCCTTTTCCTGCTTCTTTATATAAATGTATGGAATCCCAACATGTTCGTGCTAAGAGAGACGGAATTTCTTGTACCAAAAAGTTATAAACCCACATTCCATTTTTGCCCTTAAAAACTGACAGAGTTAACTTGTCCAATTCTAGAAGCGAAAAAATTGTTATTTCATCCACATTTATGTCATTATTCATCTCTTTACAATTGAAGTTACAACTGTTTCTAGTTCCAGTGTTGAATATAAAATGAACAAGCGTAGGCGGAGAGGTTGTGAGGGTGACAGTGCCCGATTTTGATGCCCTTTGGATATGTCGTCGTACTCGGTGGGTGTACCAAAAGTGAGACTGGGTTTTACTCCATGACCCCATTTGCGCCCGCCACACCCATTCAAAGGCATTACATGTACTAAAAACGCCGTAGTCAAATTTTTGTCAAAAGTCCCATTTTCATTCGATTTTGATCATTTTTGGATTTTCCTGATTCTGGAGAGTTGTTTTCTCGTATCCGATATGAAACTCAATTTATGTATTTTTTTAACATCTTGGAAAATTTCCATTTCGAAAATGCCTTCGAAAAATCAAAAGTTCAAAAAAGTTGGGTTTGATGTTGGGCATCATAATCCAACTACTCACGATCAAGGAAATGCAAAAATTTTCAGAATCCGATTAAAATATTTAAATGTGAAAAACTTGGATTTTTGTGTTTTTCGTGGCTATGAGTGGGTGTAACTGTTAGGAATCTTAGTACATTCATCTGTTACTACAACATATCCAAAGGGAATCAAAACCGGGTACTGTTACCTTCAGAACCTTTCTCCTTAGCTAAATATAGCAACTCGAAAGAAAACTAAGTGTCCAACAGATTTAGCTTGGTTTAGGGGCAGAGTAAGAAAAGCAAATGTAGGTTTCGGAAGTAAATCTGTCTCGCCTCATAAATAACAACGCTTCTCCATTCCCACCACAGCGGATTTGCATGTTAGCTTTCACTTGTCAAACGTTGCATACATTTATCCACAATGTGTTCAGTTACAAGGCTCAACGAGATATGAG